TTTCCCCTTTCTACAATAAGATAAAGGTAAAGATTCCCCTCGCACATATGTGCTAGTCATTCCCGACTCTAGGGGGCGGTGCTCATCTCTGTTTCAAAGCCGAAGAGCCAGCGCTGTCCGAAGACGTCTCCGTGGTCATGTGGCCGGCATGACTCAACGCCAAAGGCGCACAGAACGCTGTTACCTTCCCACCAAAGGTGGTCCCTATTTTTCTACTTGCATTTTTTACGTGCTTTCGAACTGCTAGGTTGGCAGAAGCTGGGACAAGTCACGGGAGCTCACCCTGTTACGCGGCACTAGGGATTCAAACCGCCGAACTGCCGACCTTTCGATCGACAAGTGCAGCGTCTTAGCCACTGAGCCACCGCGCCCCCCTCTTTCTACAATAGGCCTCGATAAAAAGGATGGATCTGGATTTTTACGCTTTGCATACATGTGTAGTGTCTGATGATGGATGTCTACACATAAATTGGCAGCCAGGCTGACAGCTACCAAGAGGAAAGTTAAAATAATTCTGGCAGTTAAAACATTTGAACTGCTGCCGACCTCAATGAAAACATGAAGTAGGAAGTATAATTTTAGAAACAGGCTACTCCTGAACCTTGACAAGATTAATACGAATCATCATGGATGCAGATGACTCCAGAAAGTAGACGATAACAGCTGACAGCCAAAAGAGATTTGGTTGTATTCTCTTTAAAGTCTAGCTCAACAGGAATTCACTCTGTAAAACCGTAGGGTGTGCAAACAGTAGAGTTATAATGTGGGCCCAGTTTTGATCTGCCGTTGAGTCTTCAAAGCAGATGGGCCACATGTATCCTTCGTTTGAGGAGCTGAACATTCAAAATGTGTGGATGTGAACAAAGCTCTGGTTTTCCTTTGAATCGCTTGTTTGCCCAATTCTTTCAGCCCATGTGCAAGTTGTCCATGAATTTAGCATCCAGCTGAATTCATAGGCCTCGGGTAGTAAATCAAGACCACACATCTTGCTTCGCAGACATGCAATTAAAGATTGCGAGTGTGCGTAAATTCACTAAATGTTCCATGCACGGAGGAAAATTATTTATGATTTTTTTCAGTGAATTGTATTCCCCCCCCCTTTTTTTGTAAAATTCCCATTCATCACAACATTGCTTTAAATAAGTTAAAACTAAACGAGGGACATAGCATTTAATTTTGAAAGAAAGGCCATAATTGGGTGGAAAAGCCAAGTGATTGCGTTAGATGATCAAAAAGATGGAACATAGAACATAGAATAATAGAGTTGGAAGGGAACTTGGAGGTCTTCTAGTCCAACCTCCCCCCCTTGCCCAGGGAAGGAGATACTATACCCGTGATGGCGATCCTATGGCACACGTGCCACAGGTGGCACGCGAAGCCATATTGGTGGGCACATGAGTGTTACCCTAGCTCAGCTCTGGCACGCATGCGTGGGCTGGCCAACTGATTTTTGGGCCTTCCGGGCCCACTGCAAGTCAGGAAATGGGCTGTTTCCGGCCTCCGAAGAGCCTCCGGGGCGTGTGTGGGAAGGCTGTTTTTGCCCTCCCCAGACTCCAAGAATGCCACTGGAGCCTGGGGAGGGCGAAAAACAGGCCCACCGTGCCATCGCGTGCCAAAAGTGTGGGGAGCGGGAGGGGAGTTCGTGCATGCATGCACTGGGGGGGCAGGGTGCATTGAATTATGGGTGTGGGCACATACACACGCGCCCCCTCCACACTCTCCTCACTTTTGGCACGCGATGGCAAAAAGGTTAGCCATCACTGTCCTATACTATTCCAGACTTTCTTTGGGCTTGATGCAAGGGTGAAATTCAGTAGGTACTGACAGGTTCTGGAGAACCAGTGGTGGAAATTTTGAGTAGTCCAGAGAACCGGTAAATACCACCTCTGGCTGGCCCCAGGAGTAGGGAGGGAATGGGGATTTTGCAGTATCTTTCCCCTGGAGTGGGGTGGGAATGGAGATTTTGCAGTATCCTTCCCCTGGAGTGGGTTGGAATGGATATTTTGCAGTATCCTTCCCCTGGAGTGGGTTGTAATGGAGATTTTGCAGTATCCTTCCCCTGGAGCGGGTTGTAATGGAGATTTTGCAGTATCCTTCCCCTGGAGTGGGGTGGAATGGAGGATTTTTTGCAGTATCCTTCCCCTGGAGTAGAGTGGGAATGGAGATTTTGCAGTATCCTTCCCCTGGAGTGGGGTGGAATGGAGATTTTTTGCAGTATCCTTCCCCTGGAGTAGAGTGGGAATGGAGATTTTGCAGTATCCTTCCCCTGGAGTGGGGTAGAATGGAGATTTTGCAGTATTCTTCCCCTGCAGTAGAGCGGGAATGGAGATTTTGCAGTATCCTTCCCCTGGAGTGGGGTGGAATGGAGATTTTGCAGTATTCTTCCCCTGCAGTAGAGCGGGAATGGAGATTTTGCAGTATCCTTTCCCTGGAGTATAGTGGGAATGGAGATTTTGCAGTATCCTTCCCCTGGAGTGGGTTAGAATGGAGATTTTGCAGTATCCTTCCCCTGGAGTAGAGTGGGAATGGAGATTTTGCAGTATCCTTCCCCTGGAGTGGGTTAGAATGGAGATTTTGCAGTATCCTTCCCCTGGAGTGGGTTGGAATGGAGATTTTGCAGTATCCTTCCCCTGTAGAGTGGGAATGGAGATTTTGCAGTATCCTTCCCCTGGAGTGGGGTAGAATGGAGATTTTGCAGTATTCTTCCCCTGCAGTAGAGCGGGAATGGAGATTTTGCAGTATCCTTTCCCTGGAGTATAGTGGGAATGGAGATTTTGCAGTATCCTTCCCCTGGAGTGGGTTAGAGTGGAATGGATATTTTGCAGTATTCTTCCCCTGCCACGCCCACCATGCCACGCCCACAGAACCGGTAGGGAAAAATTTTGAATTTCACCCCTGGCTTGATGGGATGGATACACGTAATCATAGAAAGAATAACAGAACAGAATAATAAGAGTTAAAAGGAACCCGGAGATCCTCCAGTCCAACCCCACCCAAGCAGGAGACCCTATACCATTTCCGACAAATGGTTGTCCAGTCTCTTCTTAAAAGCTTCCAGTGATGCAGCCCCAACAACTTTCAGAGGAAAGCTGTCCCACGGATTAATTGTACTCACTATCAGGACATTTCTCCTTAGTTGTCAGTTGGATTTCTTTTTAATGATCTTCCACCCATTGCTTCTTGTCCTGCCCTCAGGTGCTTTTGAGAATACGTTGATTTCTTCTTCTCTGTGATAGCCCCTCAAGTTCTGGAAGATTGCTATCATATCACCCTTAGTCTTCCTTTTCATTAGACTAGACCCGTGATGGCGAACCTATGGCACGCGTGCCACAGGTGGCACGCGGAGCCATATTAGTGGGCACGCCAGCTCAGCTCTGGGGCGCATGTGCGCGCCGGCCAGCTGATTTTCGGGCCTTCTGGGCCCACCAGAAGTAGAGAAACAGGCTGTTTCCTGCCTCTGGGGGGGTCTGGGGGTGGGTGGGGAAGGCCCGTTTTTCTTTCTTAGCTGGCTCCAGATCCTCTCTGTGTATCTGGGAACGGCAAAAACAGCCTTTCCCACTCCCTTGGAGGCCCTGCGGAGGCTCAAAGGGCCCATTTCCCCACTCCCGGTGGGACAGGAAGTGACGTTTTTTCCTGTCCCCAGCCTCCAGATACTCCTAGAGAGGCTCCTACAGACTCCTAGAGAGGTTCTGGAGGCTGAGGACAGCAAAAAACGTCACTTCCTGTCCCACTGGGAATTGGGAAATGGGCCTTTTCAGCCTCCGTAGGACCTCCAAGGCTGTTTTCGCCGTTCCCAGATACACAGAGAGGATCTGGAACCAGGTAAGAAAGAAAAACGGGCCTACCAGGCCATCATGTGCCAGGAGCCGGGGGGGGAGGGGGTTGCGCACACATGTGCGTGGGCACGTGCGCGCGCGACCCTCCCCCGCCCCCCCTCTCCTGGCACGCGATGGCAAAAAGGTTAGCCGTCACTGGACTAGACAGACCAAGTTCCCTCAATCATTCATTGTACGATTTAGTCTCCAGGCCCCCTAATCATCTTTGTTGCTCTTCTCTGCACTCTTTCCAGGGTCTCAGCATTTATTATTATTATTATTATTATTATTATTATTATTATTATTATTATTATTATTTGTATTGTGGTGGCCAAAACTGAATGCAGCATTCCAAGTGTGGTCTCAGTAGCGCAGTATTGTAGGAAGTTAGCACCCACCCCTCTCCTAGAAGAATGAAATATTTTAGGAAATATTGAAAGGGGCAGAATATTATGTTTCCCTGGATGAGAAACAGAGAAACATGTTTTAAAGACTAAGTAGCTTCCTGCCTCCCCTCCACCTTTGTCAATGGGCCATATATGCCCCAGCCGAGCTCACCCATTCCCCCCCACCACCTTTGTCAATGGACCATCATCTGCAACATAATAGGACCCATCTAGCAACAGAAACTCACCACATGGCATCTGGGAAGATTACATCAGCCAGCAAAGCTAGCCAAGACCCCCACCCCCTGGGAGTCTGACAACCAATCAGGATACTCTTCCTGTGCCCCACGAAGTTCAAAGCGCAGAGAGGGCATAAAACCAAGGCACGTTCAGCATCTCGGCCCCTTTCTGTTCAGGAACTCAAACCATGTGATCCTGTCCACCATTAAACCATCTTTCCAAGCAGTCTCCATGTTTCCAGTGTCTTTTTCCCCACTTGGAACTGAACCCAGATTTGTTCTTCCAACAGTATAATGCAGCACTGTCACTTCATGTGATATTATCCCTCTGTTGATGTAGCCTAGTTAGATGTTCTAGGTTTCTAAGCTAGCATGGGAAGTAAAACAAACAAATTGTGGAATGGAACAGCAACAACTTCTGTCCCGCCATGCAGAAAATTATCTAGGTGGATCCAATATGCATTCAGCCATTAAGCTTGATTCATGGCAGACTTTATTATTTTATTGCATTTTTAAATCCTACAGTAGGATCTAAATATAAGTTGGAAAAAAATGATTACCTGCCTCTGAAGCAATCAGATTTTCAACGTTTTCTCGTTCCCGTTCAGCACGGTTAGCCACAGCACTGCCGCTTTTTGTCCTTCGAAGGACATTGAGAGCTCTGTTTATCTTTTTAAAAGATCTGCTTCGTACTGTAGAACGCTCAAAGCGTGAAGTTGTGACTGAAGAGGAAGAAGACAGAGAATATTTAGGCTTGGGCTGATTACAGAAAATCTTATTTATTCCAAGGGCTGCTAAAATGAAGATAACCTAGAAGTAAGGAAGACTTAAACCTTATTCCATTATTGCACAAGAGCCTTAGTATATGTTAGCCAGTGGAAAGTCAGCATAACATAGTATCTTGGTGTTAGAAATTCTGTTTATATAACGCACCACACAGAGCAAACACAGAGTACAGTCACCATGTGCTTTACTGCTCAACTATTTTACTGTAACAGGAAACAGGAAACTCTACTTAGAACAAAAGAGCATAGAGTATATATTCCATAAATCCCAAACAAGTAAATACTGCCATCTACTGGCTAAATATTACTGTAGGTGTTGCATAAAAATACATTCCAACAATGAATTCCAACACTTGGGTACTAGACTTGGACAACAAGTAAATTCAAGTCCATACTTGTTCACACTTGTTTAGTGGGTATTGCCAAGACACATCCATCTTATAGGATATTGTATCTCCCTCTCATAGTCATAAAAATGAAGGAGAACGCTATATAAAACTGCATGGAGGAAACTGAATGGATGAATGAATAAATAAGTAAATAAATTTTGGAAATTTCCATAACGACATAGTAGAATGTCATTTTGACCATCATCAATAATAAAATGATGGGAATATATGCTACAGTCAAAGTTACCGAATGTGTATTTAAAATATACTAAATTAAGAAAAGGTCCTTTGAAAGAAAGCTATGGTACCGACTCCAAGTTCACTAGAATAGCCCCTTATCTTTCAGAACAATTCCACAAATTTCAGCCCAATTTTTTAAATAATATACGTGAGTATTGTAGACATTCAAGAATTCTGCTCAGTCCGCCTTTCAAAGTGAACTCATCAGATTTGCAGCTCAAGAAAGTAAGAACGCAGATCTGGTTTGCGTTCTGTACTTCTCCAGGTTTTGGAAGGCAATTCTTAGCTCAGAGAAATAACAACATTCAAATAAAAATGTGAACTTCAACCGTTAGTGGCATTCGGAATGAACTTTTAGTTTGTCCAGTCCTTTGTATATGCAACAAATCAACGTGGAAGAGGGTGTAACCTCTTAGAGCATGATTTTGAAAACCCAAGGGGACAATTATCAAAAGGAGAAGCTGCCAAAAGATTTATCTCTCTTTTTTCATTGTTATATTTAAACCCCACCAGGTCTTCAAAAGTTCATAGGGGTTTTCCTTCGTTTTATTCTCAAAACAGCCTTGGTAAAAATGATTAGGGCTAAGAGAGAGCAACCAACCCAAAATCACTCAGTGAATTCCCACAGAAGAGGGTGAATTTAAATCTGAGTTTACCCTGTCCAACTTCTTAAGCTGCCACATCATATTGCTTCATATATATATCAGTGGTGAAATTCACATTTTTTTTACTACTGTGGGCATGGCAGGTGAAGGATACTGCAAAATCTCCATTCCCACCCCACTCTGGGGGGAAGAGTATTGCAAAATCTCCATTCCCACCCCCATTCTGGGGCCAGCCGGAGGTGGTATTTGCCGATGTAGCGGTATGTGATTAGGCTTAAATAAATTTAAAAAAATGCATTCTATATTGTTAGATGTCAGATGGAAAGCATAAAGAGCAAACAGTGAAGAGGGCATCAAATAATTAAATTCAAATTTCTTTGTAACGTTTGAAAGCTTAGAGGAGTCCTATTCTTTCGAAGTTTCAAACGTACTTTTAATGAGAGAGTCCATTTGGTGCACAGGTAGTCCTCAATTTACGATGATAATTGAACCCAAAATTTCTGTTATTAAGTGAGATATATTTCTAAAGTTGAGTTTTGCCCCGTTTTGTGATCTTTCTTGCCACAGTTGTTAAGTGAATCACTGCCATTGTTAACTTAGTAACACAGTTGTTAAGTGAAACTGGCTGTCCCATTGATTTTGTTTGTCAGAAGGTTGTTGGTTGCCCTCTCCCCTCTTTGGAAGAGCTTTCATAGCTCCCGCTGCCTTAAGAAAGTTGAAAACATTCTTAAAGATCCATCTCATTCTGGGCACCCTTTTTTTTTGAACTATTACCATCTGGCAGACGGTACAGGATAATATAAACAAGGACAAACAGGATGAAAAACAGCTTCTATCCCAGGGCAGTAACCATATTGAATTCTACTAGTGCAATATTAATGCAATATCAGGGGGTTTCAATTCAATTGTATAGAATGTGAAGGATGTGTGTTTGTGTTTTATTTTTATGGTTATAATCAGGGGTGAAATCCAGCAGGTTCTGACAGGTTCTGGAGAACCAGTAGTGGAAATTTTGAACAGTTTGGAGAACTGGCAGGGGAATTTTGAGTAGTTCGGAGAACTGGCAAATACCACCTCTGTCTGGCCCCAGAGTGAGGTGGGAATGGAGATTTTGCAGTATCCTTCCCCTGGAGTCGGGTGAGAATGGAAATTTTGCAGTATCCTTCCCCTGTCATGCCCCAAGCCATGCCCACCAAGACACACCAAGCCCACCAAGCCACGCCCACAGAACTGGTAGTAAAAAAAATTGGATTTCACTATTGGTTATAATGTACACTGAAGATGGCATTTAATTTCGTTTAATAAAGTAAACTAACTAACTACAAGGAACCATTGTTAAGTCCCCCTTGTTCAGTGCCATTGTAAATTTGAATGATCACTGAAGAGTGGTCATTCAACAAGGATACCTGTAATAGCAAACCATTTCTGACAATTTTGCCAAGAAAAAGACCTCCAAGTTTCCTTCCATCCCTGTTATTCTATATTCTGTTCTCTATAAGAGGGTTTGCTTCAGACAGTTGCCAGGAATCAACTCAAAAGCACACAGAGACACACAACACCACAATTTTAGCAATGTATTACTAACAGCCTGCTAGTAGTAGGCTGCTACACAACATTCTCTCGATCTTGCTTCATATACAGTACAAAATAATATATTTACAGACTTAAACATTCTCAACACATAATTAAAAATCAGAAGTGATTTTCATACATAGATACCCTGTTTCTCCCAAAATAAGATATCCCCTGATAATAAGCCCAATCGGGCTTTTGAGCGCATGGCAATAAGGCCGAGGGCTTATTTCAGGGCTTCAAAAAAATATAAGACAGGGTCTTATTTTTGGGAAAATACGGTAGAAGAATTTGATCCCCCAATATTGGTTCTTCATGGAATAACTACTTCCTTCTCCTGATTTTTTTTTTTAAATTTATTTTTTGCTTTTCGAAAAGCTGCATTTTGCACATTTTATAATGTTCTGCGTTGTGTATAAATAGCGCGAAATGTTTCCTGGCCTACAAAATTTAACTAAAACGTGGCCGTTTAGAAACAGGTCTACTGCATCTAAGATGCTCTTCTGTTGGGGTTCTTACTTCTAGGTTGCTGGCTTGTATAAAGATTGGTGGAGTTGGCTCCTGACGGGATGTCCTCAAAGTTGGCATTGAAGGCAGGATTAATTAGCCCTGGTTCATCGGTCATTAAGGCAATTGTGGCAGCAGCGGAGAACTCAGATCCAAGGGCAGATACCGTTAAAGCAGCATTCAAATCAGCAGATCCAGCTAGGGAACATCTCTTCCTCTCCTTGGTGAAGCCATAATGAGATGCCCCTCTGCACCTAAGGAAATTTAAAGACAACAGAACTTAAAACAGTGATGGCTAACCTTTTTGCCGTTGTGTGCCAAAAGCGTGGGGAGCTTGGGGGGGGGGGACATGCGCGCGCGTGTGTCCACACCAATAATTCAATGCACCCCGCCCCCCCCAGGGCATCGGTGCGGGATCCCCCCACACTCCTCCATGCATGCGATGGCACGTTGGGCCCTGTAGGCCCATTTTTCACCCTCCCCAGGCTCCAGAGGCTTTCTTGGAGCCTGGGGAAGGTGAAAACGGCCTTCCCCACCCTCCAGGAGGATCTCCGGAGGCCGGAAAGAGCCCGTTTCCCGACTTCCGGTGGGCCCGGAAGGCCTGAAAATCAGCTGGCCGGTGCATGCATGCGTGCTGGAGCTGAGCTAGGGCAATGCTCGCGTGCCCACAGATATGGCTCCATGTGCCACCTGTGGCACGTGTGACATAGGTTCGCTATCACAGACTTAAAACAAAAATTGCTAAAATGAATGGAGATAGGTAACTTCTTCCAAAAATTCAAATTTTGGGTGGGGAAGGGGAAGCAGAGGTGGGTTTCAGCAGGTTCTGACCAGTTCTGGAGAACCAGTAGCGGAAATTTTGAGTAGTTCAGAGAACCGGTAAATATCACCTCTGACTTGCCCCACCGCCATCTATTCTCTGCCTCCTGAGTCCCAGCTGATCGGAAGGAAATGGGGATTTTGCAGTAACCTTCCCCTGGATTGGGGAGGGAATGGAGATTTTACAGTATCCTTCCCCTGCCACACTCACCAAGCCACGCCCACCAAACCATTCCTCGCCCACCAAGCCACGCCCACAGAACCGGTAAGTAAAAAAATTTGAAACCCACCACTGGGGGGGGAGGGAATTGACAATGAGTTAGTTTCCCATTTTTAGTTTTCGGCCATCCCAAAAGGAGAAGCATTAAGATGTTTTAGCAGATTACCCACAGTTTTTCTTTGTCAAACTATGAATACATACCAAGTAGATAAAGATCATATAAAGAGAATGTCTGAGGATAGACTTGCAAAACAAATATATGAGGGAAGAAAGAACGAATGGGCCAAGAAGAAAAGGAAGGGACTAACAGATAGATTAACAGATTACCAGAGTTGGAAGGGACCTTGTAGGTCATCTAGTCCAACCCCCTGCCCAAGCAGGAGACCCTACACCATTTCTGACAGATGGCAGTCCAATCTCTTCTTGAAAGCCTCCAGTGATGAAGCTCCCCCAACTTCTGAAGGCAACTTCCTTTCATTGGTTGATTGCTCTCACTGTCAGAAAATGTCTCCTTATTTCTTGTAGTATAGTAGTGTAGCCTTTATTGTCATTGTACATCATGTATACAACGAAATTGGTTTTAGCCTCACTGGTGCAATCCATGACAAAAAATACAAACAATTTAAATAGTATAAAGAACAATTCGTATGCAAGTAATTGAGGGGGGAAAAAACATAGTCATATGTTTCCACGTGTGCATGGAGTGATTGTGGTTGTGTTTAAGAGTGTTGTGGCTCCATTACCTGAGCCTGTGTCATCGGCAGGAGAGGACTCCGAGAGTGAAGGAGAGGAGTGGGCAAGGCCTTCCTCTCCAGGACCCTCCTCTCTGGCAATGCCTTCGGTGTCCGCCGAATGGCAAGAGATAGGGCCGGGGCCAAGCACGTCCACGCAGCCACAGGTGGACAGTGATGAGGGTAATGAGTCTTGGCTGGATCCTCAGCAGCGTCGCAGAGATAAGCGCGCGCAACAGAAGAAAAGACGTGCCAGAGATTAGGCTGAGTCACTGGACCACACCCCACAGGATATAAAGGGGGGTGAGGTGGCCATTTAGACTCTGTGACAGACAAAACTAACTACTATCGAGTCACATTTCATCTTTGGAAACAACATTATCGGCCTTGGATTTATTTTACGAAATGGACAATTCTTGACTGTGTGTATTTTGTTTATTGTTTATTGAGTAAAAGTTCTTGGCAAGCAGCTACTGGGTTGCTGCCAAGCATCTTATCGGAAGAATTGGTTGTCTGCCAGTTTATTTAACCCCCGGCTGTCTGTTTGTGTGCATGTGTGAGACGGGGACAGAACAAAGAGTCTGACAGCCCAAGGATAGAAACTATTTTTAAACCTATTCGTTCGGCTGGCTATGCTTTGATGTCTTCTGTCCGATGGTAGAAGTGCGAAGAGACACTGACCAGGATGCGAATCAGTGGTGGGTTGCCCCCAGTTCGGACCGGTTCGCATGAACTGGTAGTAAAACCGGCGGGAGGCTCCGCCCACCACCCCGGATGTAATCATCGGCGATCTGCGCATGTGATCCCGTTGCGAACCAGTAGTAAAGGTAAGTAGAACCCACCCCTGGTGTAAATTATCTCTGAGTATCTTCCACTGTCATCCACTGATGTTAGAGGGCTACCAATGGTTTCTTGTGCCAAATTGATCACTCTCTGTAGTGCCTTCCTGTCCGCCGCAGTTAAACTTTCCAGGTTGAATTAGTTTCAGTTTCCATCCATTATTTCTTATTTGGCCTTCAGGTGCTTTGGAAAAAAGCTTGACCTCCTCCTCTCTGTGGCAGCCCCTCAAAATATTGGAAGACTGCTATCATGTCTCCCCTGGTCCTTCTCTTCTCTTCACTAGACTAGCCATGCCCAGTTCCTGCAACCTTTCAAACCTGCAACCGATTAAAAAAGTTGAGTTTGAACGGAGTTGCCAAGACCTTGAAAAAAGGGAGAAGCGAGAAGTTTAAAGAACAAAAGGCAAATTACGAAGAAACAGTGCATGAATGTAGCGGAAACCATGATGGTTTGCAGGGAGGGCAAAATACGAAGAATAGCAAATGGAAGTTAAATCTAGTCATATATTCCTTTCTTTTTCTCTTACGTCCTTCGCTCCGTTTGCTTTTCTTTCTTTCTTTCTTTCTTTCTTTCTTTCTTTCTTTCTTTCTTTCTTTCTTTTTCTTTCTTTCTTTCTTTCTTTCTTTCTTTTTCACCCTTTTCTCCGCCCTTTGAGCAAGTGCTGACTCTGAAAGGGAGTTGTGTGATGGACAGGCAAGTATGTTATTATAACATAGCAAAGCTTGAGGGCCTGGCATCTTTTCCTTGGCTTTAGCAGGAGCGGAAGAGCAGGGGACGGTCCTTCCAGTAAGGAGGGATTACATGATTAATTCACACCGAAAGCCTCCTCTTGCTAAAGAGATCAATTCGGGGAACACAGGCCCAATTGTAGATGGAGTTTCACTGGATCGGAAACAGAGAGAGACTAAGCTAGCCTGGCAGGTGACCGACCCAAACAAAGGAGAGAGTTATAATCATGGGTTTTTTTTTGTCTCTGGCTAATGAAAGAGGGCAATGTGTGGCCAGAAAACTGGATTGCGTCAGCTGATGTTTGAGGAAAGAATAAAGCCACTCATACTGGGGGCTGCCGAGTCCCCCACCATGACAAAACAGGGACTGTCGCAACAGCCGTGACTTCACCAGGGGCCGGACAGCTGCCCGCCAGATTTGGGATTCCCAGTGTTGTTGTTTTTTTCCAAAAGACTGTTCCAGAAACAATTGGGAAATAAAACCTGTTTGCTTTGCAGAATTAGAATGCAGGCTTAGTCTAGCTAACAAAAGGGCCCTCGTGTAGAATCCAACCCTTTTCCCCCTGAAGTCAAATGCTTATTCTCTCCCCTCCCCTCCGTTTCTTATTTCTTTCAACTTTTCAAATCACAAGCTTTGTGAGGTTTCTCTTTTCTATTAGAAGCTGTAAAATATACACTTGTCATTTATTGCTTTTATTTATTTATTTATTTATTATATTTCTATAACGCCTTTCTCCCGTAGGACTCAAGGCGGTGTACAGTCGAAAAATATAGATACACAAAACATCATAAAATAGCTAATTAAAATTATTATTATAACATAGTTTGGCCCAATTAAATAGAACCTAAAATTAGATAACATTTTAAAAACATTCACATGTTCGTATGTTTAGCCCCGCCTGTTGGAACATCAGGGTCTTGAGGGCACGGCGGAAAGCACGGAGATCAGGGATATTTCGTATCTCCGGGGGCAGTTCATTCCAAAGGGTTGGAGCCCTCACAGAGAAGGCCCTCCCCCTGGGAGTCGCCAGTCGACATAATTTGACTGACGGTACTCTGAGTAGTCCCTCCCTGTGAGAACGAACTGGTCGGTGGGAGGTTATTGGTGGCAAAAGACGGTCTCGTAGGTACCCAGGTCCTAAGCCATGGAGTGCTTTAAAGGTGATAACTATCACCTTGAATCGCACCCGGACGACCACCGGGAGCCAGTGCAGCTCGTGTAGGAGAGGTGTTACATGGGCGCAACGAGCTGCGCCCATAATCACCCGCACGGCTACATTCTGGACCAGTATAACAGGCTTATAACAGGCTTCGGTTTCTGGTGAGTCAAGTGTAAGAGTTGCATTTGGCTTAAATCAGCCCCCCCCCCCTAATTTTTCTTTCCCCAATGGATTCTTGGATCCTGAACTCAATTTTAAGGCAGTGGTTTGCACAGTCACTCATTAATATATTCAACTTTCTATATAAATATTCTTGGGATGTACACAAGGTAGATATTTAAGCAGCAATTACACAGAAACAGAAGATATTAAGATAATAAAAAGAGCCTTGATAGTACAGTGGTCTAAGCACCCTGTTATTAACACAGCTGCCTGCAATTACTGCTGGTTCGAATCTCTCCAAGGCTCAAGGTTGACTCAGCCTTCCATCCTTTCTAAGGTAGGTTAAATGAGGACCCAGTTTGTGGGGGCAATAAGCTGACTTTGTATAAATATACAAAAGGATGAAGGCTATTGCTTAACGCATTGTAAGCCACCCTGAGTCTCCGGAGAAGGGCGGCATATAAATCAAATTAAAAAAAATAATAATCTACTAGACAGAAACTATCTGCAATAAAAGGCTGTAGAGATTCTCAGTCATCCAGGTCATTTGGTTGTCCCAAAGGCGCTTTTTCAGGAGGCAACCGGACTTTCTTT